GCGTCGGTATGCTAGCTAGCCACAAACCTGTCGAGCCAGTGGACGTGGCAACCAGATCGTGTGCGGCGAACTGGAAGCGTGCTGTTGCAAGTAGGTGGAGGAGACCTCACTGTCTTTGTCAGGTCAACGAAGGACTTTATACGGCCCGTCATAGGGTGGTTGGAGTGGTCGTCGGACAGCGTCATGCCGAACCCAGACGAAATCGCACTTATCCAGGTCGGGAGGGATGAAGGAATTGGCCGGTGACGCCCGAGGGGACGTTGCGCGGAGATTGCGCATGACACTACGCAGCTGCTCCACATAACTGCAAGGTCTAAAAAATGTTACCGTGTTTGAAGGACATACTAACTAACCGGGCAGTCGTAGGGAGGTTCCGTAGACAAGATCAGCTGCAGTGCAACCGATGTCGGCCTTGAGAGTGGAACGGAGGGACAACAGCACCAGGGGAAGGTGATCAGACCATCGGGAAGGATCGGGCTGGGCCATAAGGGAAGTCTTCAGCTGTCGATGGAAGCGTTCGACGAGACCATTTGCTTGAGGGTGGTACGCTGTTGTTCGAATTCGTTTGGTACCGAGAAGGGAAGTGAGCTCGCGAAACAGCGTGGACTCGAATTGGGATCCGCGGTCAGTGGTGACAGTCGCAGGAACTCGAAAATTGGACACCCAATGAGTCAAGAAAGCTCTTGCTACGGTTTCGGCACTGATGTCCGGAATGGGCGCAGCAACCGGCCACCGAGTAAAGCGATTAATGCATGTCAGCATATAGGCAGAACCGTTAGATGGTGGCAGCGGACCTACCAGGTCAATGTGCACATGACTGAAGCGTGCATCAGGAGTGGCGAAAGTACCTGGCGGGGTAATAGTACGCCGATGCGTTTTGGCGCGCTGACAGGGTAGACAGGATCGGGTCTAACGCCGTACATCCCGGTTGATGTTGGGCCAGACGAATCGGTCAGTGATGAGTTTCACTGCCGCCCGGACTCCAGGGTGGGATATATTGTGAAGGGCGTTGAGCACGTGTCGTCGTAAAGTTGCTGGAACAAAAGGACGTTCGTGTCCGGTAGAAAGATCACACGTTATAGTGCCAGTGCCAGTGAGAAGGGGACATCTTGAAGGCGTAAAGAAGATTCCTCGTGGCAGTATTGGGAGAGTTCTTCATCCAATCGTTGAGCCTCAGCCATGAGCGTGAAGTCTATGGCGTCGGTTGTGACGGAAGCCATCTCGATTCTTGAGAGAGTATCAGCAACCAAATTTTCTTTACAAAGGACTGTAAGATGAAATCTAGAGGACGAATTTCACGGGGCGAGTATCGATTGAGAGAGGCCCTCAGTGCAAAACGAGTGGCTTGTGATCTGTTAGAACAACAAATTCACGACCCTCGAGGAAATTGCGGAAGAGCCGGATGGATAAATAGACGGCAAGGAGTTCGCGGCCGAAGACACTGTGGCGGGTCTTTGCAGGGCTGAGCTTCTTCGAGAAGAAAGCCAAAGGCTGTAGAACACCACTAACAGTTTGCTGCAGTGATGCACCAACTGCAATGCTGGAAGCATCTGTCACGAGAGTTAGCTGGGCATCTGAGCGGGGGTGGGCAAGCAGTGTTGCGTTCGCAAGTGCGGCCTTGACGTCATTGAAGGACCTGACGGCCTCCTCGGTCATCACCAGTGTCTTCTTGGAGTGGGTCAACAGGCTGTTGAGTGGCTGCAGTATGGTGGCATCATGGGGGAAGAAAACGGTGATAGTAGTTCACCATCCCCAAGAATCGGCGTAGTTGGTTGGTGGTTGTCGGGACGGGGAACGTTGATATGGCCGAAGCCTTTTCTGGGAAGGGCTTTATCCCACCTGAGTTCACTTTGTGACCCGGGAAGATGAATTTGGGGATTCCAAACTCACATTTAGCAGTATTTGTTACAACGCCGAAGGAGTCGAGCCGTTCGAAGAGTTGTCGAAGATGAACCTCGTGTTCAGCAACGTCAGAACTAGCCACTAGCAAATCATCAATGTAGGCGTAGACGAAGTCGAGACCTCGCAGAACCTGATCAATGAATCGCTGAAAGGTTTGAGTGGCGTTCCTCAGACCAAAGGGCATACGAGTGAATTCGAATAACCCAAAGGGAGTGGTCACTGCAGTTTTCGGAACATCACTGGCTTCGATCGGGATTTGATGGTAGGCACGCACAAGGTCCATCTTAGATAATATTCGCTTACCATGTAGCGAAAGAGTGAAGTCTTGGATGTGCGGGACGGGATACTGGTCGGGCACAGTCACAGAGTTCAACGCCCGATAGTCACCACACGGTCGCCAGTCGCCGCTCTTCTTGGGGACAAGATGGAGGGGTGATGCCCAGCAGCTGTCGGACTGTCGGATGATGCCGAGCTCGAGCATGTGTTCGAACTCTACCTTGGCAATCTTCAAACGGTCCGGAGCAAGACGACGTGGTCGGCAAGATTTGGGAGGTCCGGTAGTGGAAATGTGGTGAGTGACTGTGCGTTTGATGTCCACTTCACGAAATGAGGGGTTGATCAGGCGGGGGAACTGCATGAGGAGTGAGTGGAAAAGACAGACAAAGATGGGCATAATAGTGAGAGGGTTGACACAGGGGTTCACATCGGATTGACAACGGGCATGAAGGCTGGTGATGCAGTCGACGAGTCGGCGATTCCTCAAATCAACCAGTAGATTGAAGTGAGCTAGGAAATCGGCACCTATGAGGGCGATGGAAACGTCGGCAATAATAAAAACCCATCGGAAAATCCGACGGAGGCCCAAATCAAGTGTGGTAGAGCGCTGTCCAAAGGTAGGGATGCTGAAGTTGTTGGCAGCTGTTAGACAAAAAGAGCTGCGGGTTTTGCGTTCGGCCGGAGTTGGTGGAACCACGCTAACCTCGGCACCAGAGACGACAAAGAATTTGGCGCCAGCGATACGGTCCCAGAGAAACAGATGGCGAGTGTGAAGCTTGACAACGCTTACAGCAGCCGTGGCCTCTACTGTTGGGTGGGATCGTCTCCCTGAGGCCGTTAGAGATGTCTTGAAAGAGCATGGCTGAAGACATCGTCGAGCTGCTCTCCCAAATTCTTGGTGATACCAGCAGACGCTACGTGGAGATTGTGGACGGCGGGTGTGGGAACCGGAGGAAGTACGACGACGGTTTGGTGTTCGCCGCGGGCCGTCAGTGGTAACTGCAGTGAACTGGGCTTTCAGGCGCATCAATACCTCCTCGAGCCGATCCAAGTGTACGCTAGCTCCTTGAGAATTTGAGTTTGAGAGTGACTTCTGGTCTTGGGACATCGCGCTGTAGGTCGCCGGAAGATCGTTTGTTGTGGACGAAAAGTTTGCGGAATTCCAGTGTTCGGAAAATAGGGGTCACCAATTTGTGGCGGTCAAGGATGTGAGATCGACTTAAACCACGCACAATAAGTTCGTTTCGTCTACTGTCAGAAGTCAGGGAGCTGTGAGGACTAGTTCATTCTGTACACAGGGCAGGTTGCCGTAAGTTGGCTGTTTGCTTGCAACAGACATAAGCGTGGGATATAATTTACACTTACAATGTAAGGTCTGGCTCCATCCGGGAGTCACTTAAGTCGGTCCTTCCTCCTTGCCAAAGAGGTTGTTGCTGTTATACAGGGAAACTCCGCCACCTCTCCTTTTAGGTCGGTCTCATCTTAGCATTTGATCACCATCTAACTGTATGTGGGAGTCTTGAAACTCTGAGATGTGCCACATTTCAGTTAATGCAATAACTTCAGGACCTACTTCGGTAACAATTATCTCGAGTTCGTCGAGTTTGTCCAAGAGGCTTTGTACATTTACTCAAAAGAGTCTGTAGCGGCCGTACCAGTCCCTCTTTTTCCGGCTCCGTTTTGTCGGTCGATGCAGTGACTTCCGGCTGTCCTCACAAACTTTTATCACCTTTCGCGCGTCGGACGCCCTGGCTTGATATCCGTGGGCCCTTGTGATTATGCGCGCCCCCTCCCCCCTATTCCTCCCCTAATCCGTCCAATCACACGACCAACACTCAGCCAGTCACCCCCTCCTGTTGACACAGACGTTCACTCCCACGTACACAACACAGCGCGGCTGACGCCCTCCGGGAACGGACGCTTATCTCTGTCACAAGTCAACAGCCAACTTACGGCAACCGCCCTGTGTACAGAATAAACCTTAGAGGAAGACGAAGACACGATCAAGAGGACGGTAGATTCATTGACCTTAGGTTTCGAACTCAAACTGGAGTTCATCACCAGAGACTGCTAGAGTGCAGCAACGTGTGAACATTAATATCGTCGTGTCATGAGGGGAGGGGGACTACGTCCATGGCTAGGTCTGGTTTGTGCCGCCTGGCCCACAATGGTCCCCCGGCGTGGTGACGCGGCGATGTGAGCTGCGCCACCTGGGTGCCTGGGCGTAGGGCGTAATAACACACAGGCAACTCAATGTGTCTATTGATAGAGTTGGTGTCCGACACCCGCGCCTCCAACAGTTCTCGCCCCGGTGATCGCACCTGCGTCTTTTTCTAAACAAGAACCTGGAAGGAGCATATTCTCTTCCATTCGATAGAATAAACCTGTTCTCACAGCTCCCTGACTTCTGACGTAAGACGGAACTCAGTTGTTGTGCGTGGTTACAGTTGATCTCACACCCTTGACCGCCACAAGTCGTCGAGTAGAAATTTGCCGGCTGGTGGGATAACCCAGTCCTCTCTCGAGTCATGGATCGCACTGCATTAGGAATTAATTCCTGATAGTCTGACTGTCTCAGACGACGTCTTTCACCATTGCCGTCGAGAGTGGGCACCGTGGCGTTGGCTTGAACACGATTTACCTAATAGTGAGGCCCACTTGCACGGCATCTTTCGCACTTTTCCTCATCCTTCATGTTTCCGCAGCAAGCCAGTCAACTCGACAGGGGTACACGTGAGCACGTTTGCTGACGAACCTAAGACAGCCCCTCTGCGCATGTCATACATGAGCTGGTCCGCATTGCGCGTGTACCACGGAGGGTTTCTCGTCAAACAGATGAGAGTGCTAAAGAGGCCACACTAAGGAGTCCTTGCAGCCTGAACCTCAGTCTCGAGGAGGATCGAGCTATCCCGCCGTTTGGCGGCCTTTCAATTCATAACTCCTATCTCGTCGCGATGGATTTAAGAGAGTCGGAATTTTCGTGGTTTTTAACGCGATGATCTGCTGTTGGGGTCGGTACTGGGGTTTTGGTCTTACTCCCCGCACGCACGCACCAGCCGACTGCGGGCCCGCCAACTAACTAGTGATGAGGCCGCAGTCTCATCGCCGAAGAACTATCGTAATCGTAAGAAGCCGACAATTCGGAATGATACACGCGAAGATGCGAGTTATAGGAACTAATTGATCAGAAGAAGAAGAAGAAGAAGAAGAAGAGGAAGCAATCGCTGGAACAAGGGTTTTATTCGCCTGACGTTTCGAATTCTCACCTGAACCCATCATCAGATACAGTGGCAGTGGCGGGGTTGGAGTTGCACACAGACCGGAGGCCACAATAAGGCGTCAGTTGATGGGACCAAAAGACCCACTGCAACGGCAAGAAACATCTGGAGTCGTTTACCGGATCTGGTGCAGTTGCGGACAAAGTAAATACGTCGGAGAAACTGGAAGACTGCCTAACACGCGGCAGCGGTACGGAGAAATGACGCCAACTCTCAGGTCGCGGCCCATTCGACGAGACCCGACCACACATTCAAGTTCGATGAGGCCGAAATTCTCGCTAGAGGGGATAATCGCGTGAGCCGTGAGTTGCTTGACTCATGGTTCACGGGACCTCAGTCTATCAACACGTGCAACAACATCCCCACTCCATATTCCGTGCTGAGGCTTAGGCTGGCCAAAGAAATTGACCACTCGGGGAGCGCGCAAGCCGGTGGGCCGGGATGGCCAGCATCCAACACGGGTGATGAGCTTTCATCAATTAACAACTTGCACGCTGGCCATCAAGCAATTAGCGCACCAACGAGCAACAATCCTTGATGAAGGGGAGCGCGGTTAATTACTATAGGTAAGTGGTAGCATAGCGACTGCATCCTATAAATACTGCAACTTCCTGCGCATAAGTCACCCTTTTCTGCTACTGTCTCTGATGATGGGTTCAAGTGAGACTTCGAAACGTCAGGCGAATAAAGCCCTTGTTACAGCGATTGCTTCTTCTTTTGATCAATTCGGAATGAGTAGTCGAGCTGTCAGAGGATAAATGCAACGATTATGTGTCCAACTGTACTTTTTGCCTCACATTTTCGTTAATTTTCCGCAAGCTTGCGGTGGCTTCCCGTAGTACGCGGTCAGTGGGTTTGCCCGCTTACACAAAGATAGGGCAGCGGGGGGGGGGTGAGAACACGGTAAAAAGATGTCAACGGGGTAGAGAGCGCGCACACCAATGTGGCTGCGTGCGCGCAGTCGAACACCAAATACTATCGATTAGCATGCGCAAGCGCGCGCGCAGTCATTTGGGGCCCTAGCAACGCCATCACGGTGCGCCTTACAACCAATCAAATCACGGACTCGCTTTGGCGGCACAAATGCGGACATTTGCGAGCTTGATGCGTCCCCCTCCCATTGTCACTAGAGCGAGCGCAGGAGCCTACGAGTAGTCGTTTGTCGCATACCGTGCCCGTGTCCGTTTTGCAGTCCACATC